TACCTATCAAGTGGACACCTCAGTTGGAAAGAAAAATAAAATTGCCTAAATAAATCATTCATGCACTGATAGAACGGATTAGTTATTGTTAACGAATGGATTTTGGTTGGAGGTTAGGGTCTATTCGGTCCCACCAAATGTGCATTCGTTAATAGTTAACGAATGTACATTTCAGGAGCCTTGTTTGACTTGACTTTCGCCATTCAGGTGAATCATTCGGTAACTATTAACGAATATTCATTTGGTCATATTCAACTCTACTATTCGTTAATAGTTAACGAATCTCGTTTGGAATAAATGAATCATTCTATCAGTATGTTACAAATTACACGGAGAGAATTGTTCAATAAAAATTACGGAACTCACAATTCGCTCACCGATTACGGAATCCACTCAGAAAATTTAAGTGACGGTATCGTAATTTTTCACAGGAGATTCAGATAAAAATTACGGAACGCACTGGACAAATTCCGTGACAGTTCCGTAAAATTTCCTGCAACCACATTTCGCTCCGGAATTACGAAAAAGATACGTAATTTTTATTGAATATTTCTCTTCGTGTATTTTTCTTATCAAATTAGAAGTGTTGTGGTGTACTTTTTCGGCCTCAAAAATAATAATTAAAGAAAATGTCCATAAATAATGGAGGATTTGTGACTGCGATGGTAACAGTTGAATTTTGATCGCGCAACATCGCACGTTTTGGCTAGTAGTGAGGTTGTAACAGTGAGATGAATGTTTGTGTGTTATACACGGAGAGAATTAAATAGTAAATATTACCATGGCCATGGTAGAGATTACTATGACAACATAGTAAAAGCATTTTCAACTGACCCTACATAGTAATCCTTACTATGTCCCACGGTAATGCTTACCATATCACATGATAATGCTTACTATGTCACATAGTAATGCTTACTATGTCACATAGTAATGCTTACTATGACACATAGTAATGCTTACTATGTTACATGGTAATGCTTACTATGTCACATTGGTAATGCTTACTATGTCCCATGGTAATGATTACTATGCGGATGGCAAATAGTCCTATGAGCATAAAAAGTATTTCTAAAATACACGGTTGACATTTTCCATTGTCTCTTGATGCGTAAACGCATGACGCTTAAGGCTGTGTGCTCAGTAGTCGATGAACAGTGCACAGAAGCGGTCATGGACAATATCACAGAAGACTCAAGCACTCTTGGAACTACGGTAAGTATATTTGTTTGGTTTCATTGAATATATGTAATAATGACGTAGAAAGAGAATTGAAAGTTGTGAAAAATTATCAGATTCAACGACTGATTATCAGAAATAATTTTTTCTCATTTGTAACTCATCCGTTTCGATAATATTGATCGATATCCTAGTGAATATGTAAAAAACAACGAAACACGATAATTATACGATAAGTATAACGATTAACGATAATTTATTAATTGAGAGTGTTATTCTTTCAATTCAAAAATATGGTTCTTAAGGGGAGACCGCCCCGAAATTTTGAAATCGGCGATGCCTTCATCTATCCCCTTATCTGTTTATGAAGGAGAAAGAGGCGTTAGACGATGAAAATTAGCAAAAGTGTCCTCATAAAACAATTATCAACCGATTGACTGGAATTTTCGTTCACACATCCATAATATGTACACAAATATGAATGAGCTTCTTTAAAAATGTCTATTTTTTCATTTTTTAAATTTTTGTCTCAAAATTGGTTGAGGCCAAAAATTTGAAAAGTTAGTAATATTCACCTACATGATAAATCAGTGGAGTACGAATTTTATCAGCTGTTTCGAACTAGTTATTTAAAATATAATGAGGAAAATGATGGAAAAATTTGAGAAATTCATACTCCAATGATTTACTATGTATTTCAATTTGAACAATTTTTCAGATTTTTCGCCTGTATCAATTTTGGAAAAAAAATTCAAAAACCCAAAAATTGATTTTTAAAAAGCCTCATTCTGTTTTATTTGCGCATATATTCTGAATGTGTAAAATAAAATTCAAGTCAACTGATTGAGAATCGCGTCATGAGGACACTTTTGAAGATTCTCTCAATAGAAGAAATTAAAACCTAATTTTTTCTCATTTTTTTGGATTAAAATTGAAGTAATAAATTCATTAGTACAATAAATAAAGGCCTCTTCGATTTGGGAATTTCAGTACGGTTTCCCCTTAAGATTCTGAAAAAATTGATAATTTCAGATGTTTTCTGGCCTTCAAATATAAAAATCATCAGAAATTTTTCATACATGGGACATAACATTACGACGGATGTCGTTTTGATAAAGCCTACAGAGGCCGGGCCTCAATTACATTTGGTAAAAATTGCATTATCTGATGACCAACACCTAGTTATTCTCGTAACTCACCATCTGGAAGAATATTTTTTTGATAACCATTTTCAAGCATATCAAATTGATATGAATCAGACGAGATGGTCTACGTTGACCTATCACGACATCAAATTTTGTTCTTTATCATACGTAGCAACTTCTGGGAATGGCAATAAATATGTTCCAAAACATTGGGTTTAAATTGTTGCACATATGCTCTTTAATGTAGGGGGTGGGGGGGCAAAACGGACCAAGGGGGCAAAACGGACCGGGGGGCAAAACGGACCCCTGGGGGCAAAATGGACCCCTAAAAAAAAGTTTTTTTTTTCACACGAATAAAATTTTCCAAAATTCATCACTGAATAGGAGGGGTGAGACTGATGGAGGAGGAGGTGGTGGGCGGTGGGTGATGATGTTAGACGCCAGATACTATTTTTGAACCAGTTAAACCCCGCAGGAAAGTTTTTTCTTTCAATAATGACACCTTTTTCACTTCGTAATTGACTTTTATAATTTATTATTAGAGGTGAACGTGAAAAGTATACTGCCATTAATGAAAATTGAGAACAACATCATGGTAAGATAACTTCATTCTAATGAATACGAAAATGTTCCACGTTCTAATCAAAAGTCTTGGTGAAATTGGATGGAATGATGATGAATAAGAACAATGATGATTAATAACAATAATAAATAACTTCCATATCCCGGGAAGTTAATAATAACAGTGATGATTAATAAAAATAATAAATAATAACAGTGATGATTAATAACAAAAATAAATAATAACAATGATGATGAATAACAATAATGAATAATAACAAATATAAAATATGAGGTTAGTAATAAATAATAAAGTTTTAGTCTGATTCTTCGCACACGTCACAAAAAAAGTACGTGGGTCCTGCATTTTCATCAATATTAGTACCGGCTCAATGAGCCCAACCGTTGCAACTCTGGCACTGAATCCACTCCCCACCACTGTCATAAAAACGTTTTTCACAATAAATGCATGGAACATTGTCTGCATCATTGGATTTCTTTCTGATTCCCCTCAAACTTGCCCCCCGGTCCGTTTTGCCCCGTTGGTCCGTTTTGCCCCCCCCCTACTAAAATAATTTAAATATGAGTATCTCTTTGAATTATTGATTATAAAATAATCATGGGAGAAATTAGGATTAAGTTAAAATAATACTTTTAATTCAATACTTTTGCAGTTGTTGTGAAACAGCGTACTTAATAAAGAAATTGTTTTTCAATTTTTATAGTACAGAATTATTTAATGTTACAAACATTAATTAAAAACATTCCACCCCTCGAAAACAAATATTTTCAAACAAATTCTACTTATATTAAAAATATTGTACGTTATAACTATAATCTACTCATGTTTCACTCCTTAAAGGTATTTACTTACTTAGATAATATTCATTATGTGTTACAGGATATTTTACGTAACATAGGAAGCTCTACTATGTAACATAGTAAAATTTACTATGTTAACATTGTAACATTTACTATGTTAACATAGTAACATTTATAGATTATTACTATTTACTATGTTAACATAGTAACATAGTAACAGTCTATGTTTACTATGTTAACATAGTAAATGTTACTATGTAAATGTTACTGTGTAACATTTACTCAAAATCCCGAATTCCCCCCGTAACGAGCTCACGTCGATCTAATTCAGCTGAAAAACCCCTTTCTTCTCAGCAAAAAAAAACAACCATATCCCAATTAATAATGCTTACACCATTTGTGGCCTCGAAACTTGAAAAAATCCCTCTCTTCTCCCAAATCAAGAAAATTAATTGGCCCATCCCCACCCCTCCAACCGACTGCGAGACCGATTCATTAAAAATATGACGTCCCGATGTAACCCTAGCCCGTGATAATCAACCGTTCATTTGCCGACCGAAATTGGTTCATCATTGCAAACCAAAGGATTCGATACAATTTCATACCCCCAACCTTTTGATTACCCTCTTTCGATATGCTGACGCTAATCGATGCAAATGATGCTGGATTTTCCCAATCCGTTCTCACTCCTTCCAAAGCAATCACAATTGTATCGCTCCCGCCCTCGCTTTCTTATTCTCCCTGCTCCATGATTCTACCCGGAGAAAAAGTTTTCCCCCATAAGAGGATCGATAACTAGACACTGGATATCTTTCCCAATGAAGAAGCAATAATGAGTTCAAGTTTTCCGTCGGTACACTTTCGATAACTGCTCCTTATCAAATTCAATTACTCGAATGAATGCAATTAAATGTAGGGAGAAGAAGATTTATTCAATGCTCAGGGGTTATTATTCTTGATACGTTCTATCCGCGGAAGGTTTATCGCTACACCACCCTTTGCCCCCTGTGTGTAAAACCCAGGAGCAACTTTTCTAGGTAAGATAAAGCGATGGTGCCATTCCGTCCGTGGATGAGAAAAAGGTGAGACAGGATGAAATCCTTTCAAAAGAAATGACTATCATTTTTAACAAGATCCATCTTCCTAGCATCAATTCGTCTGCAATGCACTCTTCGGATGTATCCCGAGTCGCTTTCTCACACATGCAGTACAATGGATGGTGTATGCAGGGGATGTGGGGTGGACTTATTGTCTTCTATTTCACGTATGAAGTATCATTTGGGAAGTGCTTACCTTGCAGAATCTCGTGATGGACGATATCTGTAACAGAAAGTTTTTTTTTTAGTGAGTGAATGGGTGGTATTAGAGGGGGATTTATGCGAGGTTATTTTTTTTATATGGGTGCGGTGGGAATTGGACGCTTAGTTAGTAAGCAGAACTTTATTCAGTAACTAGGTGCCATTATCGGCGATTTACATTGTCTACTGAGGTATAACAAGGGAATGGGGGAGGGAGAAACAACCAATTAGGGGATATTTACGGGTGTTTTCTGAATGGGAAACTCGATAGACAACATCCGGGAAATCTGGGGAAGATTCTGAGCTTGTTATGAGCGATTGAGCATTCCTAAGACATTAACCCGATTCAATCCACTCCTATCCAATACTGTTTATTTACAAAATATTTACTATTCGTTTGTCATGAGCTGTGAGGAGGGTTATGGCAACTTGAGTAGGGGGACGCCACCGCGAGGTGGCGCTGGAGATGGACACTTAATACTATCTATCACTCTCTTCGCGCGAATGGTTTCTCATTAATCGTATATCCTATCTCTCGATAATATAAAATGCTAAATCGAATGATAATAAAGGTCAGGTGCTCATAAATCCGACATTCATAGGGGTTAGAATATCATTCGAATCGGATTATATATCTGAAACCAAAAGAGGCGACCCCTAGTAGGGATCCCTAGTAGGGGGATAACCTTGAAGGGATTCTGCGACATAAAAGCATGCAGCGACATTCGCGTCGCGCTGTCACACTTTGGGTTAGTAGCGATGCCGCAGTACTATGTTCCACCAAGATCGCTGATATGTGCCGCGGGGAGTCCACCGCAACCTGGCATTGGCATGCATCATGTCATCCTAACGTGCATGAGGTTAGGTTTGATTTATCGGTAGATTGCGTAGCAAAGTATTTTACAAAGTTTTATGAAAGTTTAAGAATAACAAGGTAACTATTGAGCGAAATCAAATCAAATGAGAAAATCGGGAAAATCGGTTATGGGCGATTGCTTGTAAAATTGATGATTTACATTTGGAAAAATTGTTGAGAATTATGAAAAATGTCATCTCAATTTTATTCTTGAACTTTCAGTACAAGTGTTACTTGATTAAAATTTCCAAGAAATGTAGGAGAAACTTATCCAAAAATAAGTTCTCGCAGTGGGTGAGGGGTTTCTCGTAATTTATTATTTTTAATTCCTAATGAAAAAAAATAGAGTAAACAAATTAATAGAGTAAGAGAATATCTTTCATCGGTCAGATTTTCATATATTTTCTCAGCGTTTGTTAGGCACTTGATGAGAGCAAACGATTTAACATTTGAAGCTGAAACTTTCAATAAATCTCTAAACTGTTGAAAACATGCGAACTAATTCTTGGAAATTTCTGGTAATTATCCGATTTACACGTCATCTATTTTATAAAAACGAATATGTTTACAATTTTGTTCGAATTCTCTGTTGATCCTACTGTCAGAAAATAAGATGCAAATGAAGGAAATATCCTGGAATTAATGAAAATATATTGACAAACCCCTTGACGAATGAAAAGAAAAAATGACAACCTGTCGCATTGACTTCATGTTTTACTATGAATTAGATAGATGACATATATTTTTTTTGAATTCATTTCATTTCTTACAATTTGAGGTTATGAGATGATTTTGTTGTCCCGGTATTCTCGTAATCCGCCTTAGTGTCGCTTAAACTGAGTCCAAGATCCAAGTGCGTGGACACCCGTCCGTGTCGCGGCAATAGTTCGCGGCGAATTTTCTGCGTCTCTCAGAGTACCCATCGCAACGATATTCAATGTCGCACATTTTTGCGTCATGAAATTTTTACTAGGAAAGTATCTGATGAGAATTAGGAAATTCGTCAGGGTCATAGACTGTAAAAAATTTAGTGTTAAATTGACACCAATCGGTGTCCGAATGAATCCACACCGTTTTTGGTGTGGAGTTGCGGTGTTAAAATTACACCGCATCATAGGACATTGCATGTAAAATCTGGTGTCAATTCAACACTAATCGGTGTCCCAAGAAGTCCACACTGGATTTTTTACCGTGTAAGTGTTCGCAGGATTATGAGGGTCATGTGGGAGTCATATTGATATCTGATCGAGCTAATCTAAGAACTATCACCCAAACTAGGTGACAATACTATGCATGCAAATTTTTGAATTGGAATGGAATTGAACTTCATGAATTTTCCGTATTGCATTCCATTTCATTGAGTTTAATACCCAATAAAAAAAAACACTCATGTACGATGGTCTCGTATTTTGAATTATCAAGGAATCTGCCGACGACTTACATAAAGCGTCATATTCTCGTTATATATTCACGATGTAACGGAGCGCGTAAAGTGGAATATGTGAATTCGCAATTTCATGGATATTCAGTACACTGGAGCAGTGGATGGGACGGGAAAGAGGTGGATGATGGCATATTCCCCTATAGCGAGTATAATCCGGTGGATTACCTGACGGCTTATAACATATCAATGGCCTATGAGGGCGTGAAAATCCCATCACATCCGAATTACAGGTCAATTTTTCTTAGCGAGCATATCCTGACTACAAGGATCAATAATAATTCTGCTTCGAAGGCTTTCGTATCTCATCCTCAATGCCTTTGAAATTCATGTTCACGTGAAATAGCTGATTGCTGTATAACTACAATGATTATTTGGATGGAGAATCAACCGCAGCGGTAATTTCAAGTGAATGAATGACATGAATTATGTCAACATCGAATGCAAACCCGTTGATTAGAATCAATATAGAATGTGGAGATTGATGAACATTGTACATCCGTGACTCATGACTCGAATGAGTTATCCATTTACCCTTGATGTGTAGGATAATTGAGCGTGCGTGGAGGATATCTATTGAGGGAGTTGATGAAGTAATCGCAACCAAATGTTGGTTAATTTCAAGAAATCGCTCCAGTAGAGAAGTGTAGAGACAGCTGAGCTATCTTAAAAGGATTTAGCCATAGGCAAGACCATTCGATGTTCGCCATACATCAATACCTGTATCGGCCCTTATGAGGTTCGCCTCAATGAGAATATTTTCAAAGCAGAATTTAACATGTCTGTTGGGGGAAACTATAAAGACCTTTCATGCTCACGTTATCGAATAAAAAATCTACAAGTTAAGGCATTTGTTAGTAGAAGAACATGAGCTTCTTTTCAGCCTACCCATTTTGAATAAAACATCACCATAAATGAGGTATGATAAAGGTCAGCTGAGCGCCTCAATTGACGTTTCTAATTTATTATCAGTTGAAATCAAACTTAGAAATAGCACCCGTGAACCGGACTCAGTCTGGTCTTCTTCAGTCATGAAAAGAGTATTTATCATCAATCAAATTTATGATCACATCATAGACAGTTTACGTATAACAGTCAAGAAATTTAAAAAAAATTCCAACAGTGACGATCAATATCATCTCTTCGCTGCTTCACATTCTATCATACATGTTATACCAGATCAACAGCATCTTCTTTTACTTTTCTGGACATAAACAGGGTTCGGAATATATGCTTCCCCCACCAGGATCTTAAGGGCCTTCATCAACCATACGGAAAATTTTCTAGATATGTCATAACTCCTTTATTTTGGCCGAAACGATTCTAAAGATGGAAATGACTATAAGGGTCTTCGATGTAGAAACGCGGAGGAGGCAGGAACGGAAGCGGAAGTGGATTGAGCGTAGGTTAATAACCGAAACGCCCTGGCACTGCTCGGCATTCAATAGTGCAAGGGTCCTAGACCAGAGGGAAGAGGTCTATAGTTGCTCGACTAGCAGCCGGAAGCGTTACAATTGATGAGGCTAGGAGTTACGTTTTCGCGGCTTCAGGTGTGTCTTCCTCGAACCCAGGGCCAATTAGGTAGATAACTGACCATCAGAGTGCTTCAGGCAAACAATGGGAAATTCCGTAGCTGCTGAATTGATGAGATCAACTAGCGCGTATTCAACTAGCTTCGGGGTAAATGTTAGCTGTTCTGAGTCTCAAGAATTTCATCTTTTGGTTCTTGTTATTATTTTGATCTGTTGCTCATCTCTGTTACTAATCTGATCGATATAACATTTTATGTATTCATAAGTGAATATATACCGTTCATACATGTTTTAATGAAACTCAATTCGTACTCACAATTGTTCATAATTTCTCATAATTGCTCATAACGACTCAAACACGACTCGATATGTATATTTCATTAATTTTAGTTATCCTAGTTCGAAAAATGGATTCAGTTTGTATGATCCTTTACCAAAAAACAGGGAAATGAATCTCCACTATGATAATAATGGCGCTATCGATTTCCATAATTCTATAATCTACTGCGGATGAAATTCAGGAGACCATGCCCACACAAATTAATGCAGTGGGAATGATATCGGGGAAAATAATTTCGAAATGTGGTTACATTTTCATATTGTATAAATACAGCTTTTCGTATTTACGGTGCAGATGCCACCTAGAACTAAGTCCAATGGAAAATTTAATGAGCCATTACATCACCACACCTATGCAAAATCATAATTCCCCATTTTCCTTCTGCAACTGTTTGCGTTGAATATTCATATAGTCGACTGTACGTTTTTATTCTCAGTGGTTAATACCAACGGCTCTGCTGGTGATTCATATAGTGATGGATGCATGTGAACATGGGATAATAATTATGCACTTGACAGAATTTTATAGGGGAGACTGGGACAAAATGAGACCCCTGTAAAATTTGAGGTTTTACACAAATGATTGATTTTTCTACAATTACTAATGAAATACCCCATTGTTAGTTGATTTAAAGTTTAAATATAACTCAGATTTCAAAGATTATAATCTGAAAATTCTAAACTGAAGTTAATAAGAATAGAAGCATTCGGATGAAGTTATCGCTCAATTTGTAGTCTAGTATCATTGATGATAATCAATTTTTTTTTATTTATTGCCATATATAGACTATTCGAGTTTATACATGTTTTGCGGTTTCATGGGCCGACTTCCTCTCCAACCGTGTCACATTGTA